AACTAACCCACTGGCTGATAAACTTTCAGCAATCTCCTTCATTTTTTTTTACATAATCTGCTATACTAAGGTTCCTTTGGATGTGTTTTGAAGTAAGTTCTTAAGTGTAAGGCTCTTGCTTTAGAATCTGTAAGAATTCAATTCTAGGAAAACCAAATTTTAGAGGAAGACGGCATTTAGATATGGAACCAAACATTTCTTCGAAATTGAGGCCAACAACCAACTCACTAGGAATTTGTCAGTCCTTTCCATAGAATATAGGCAGATTAATTTTTTCAGGCACCGAATCAATTTTCCTTTATTTCACCTCTAATTTGAGCTATCTCTCCTCAATTTCCAAATCACAGATTAAGAGAGGTGATGGACATGGAACTTTACCTAGAGGATGTTCTTCCAATTCATGACATCCTACTGTCGACAGCACTTGGGAGCTCCAGAAGCGGTAGTTATTTCTTGTAAGCTTTGGGTTTATGACTTGTAAATTTGAAGCAAGAGCTGAAGTCGTTCTAGTGGAAGCTTCCTTCAACATATCTTCAACGCTTTTAATCGATGAAGAGGCATTAGAAATTTTCGCCATTGACGCAAGTCAAGAGCTCGATACCATGTAAACTTAAAGAAGAAAGGCGGAAATTCCAAAGAAAGTCAAGTGAAAAGTATTTCCATTTCTTAAAATTGAGTAACAGTTACAGATGCAGCAACTCATCTTTTATACTTGACGAGCTAAAGCAGATGATTCATAAGAGTAAATGACATCATGTCTGTAAATGAACAAGGAAACAGGGACAATTTCCAAAGAGACCCTACACTTTCATATTACAACTGATTGACATTCCCCCGTAAACCAAACCATGAGTTTAATCAAAGGCTAACTGACAATGATCATTATTTTATTATGTTTTGAGAAAATATTTTATAGATTTGAAAGTTTTGAAAAGTAAATAAATTTATTTATATTAATTTTTTTTTTTGTAATTCAAACTTAATTGAATACATATATAATTTTTTGTAAGAGATAGTTATTCTCTTAATATTCCATAAATTTTCTTAGCTTGCTGCAAAAAAAAAAAAAAAAAAAAAAAAAAAATATATTATATATATATATATATATATTATAATATATATATTATGTAAATGAAAATCACTAATGTTTCTCTCTATAATCTATATTCATTAAATGAACTTTTTGTTAATTACTAATTTATTCTATTTTTTTAATTAGTGTAATTGACAATATAACACAATAAAGTTTATATTAGATTAAACAATTATAATTTTGAAACAATCAATTATAAAAATTTAATTTAAAGAATTTCAGGTCGGGCTGAGATAGGAACAAAGGATTGCCTTTTCTTTTGAATCCCTGGCCCAATTCCTGCTAAATAAAAAGGGGGATCGGGCTAGGGTTGGGGCTACCTATTTTTTTTTGGGGACGGGGATGGGGATGAGGATTGCTATCCTCGCCCCACCCCGGTTCGTTGCCATCCCCACATCCGTCGACTATAGTCAACTCTAATTACAATAACTTCACAGATAGAATATGGAAATAAAATTCAATAGTACTACACATACAAACACTTCTTACAAAAAATATATAGATAAAGTGATGTGGTAGAAAAATAATAGAAGAGTAAATATAATAAGTTGGAGTTTGTATATTCACACTTGGGCTCTTCCATTCATTTTTTGTTATATTATTTTGTACGTAAATCTTTGTAAGAGATGACTTTATTATAAGTAGTAGTACTCAATAAAATTACACTAAAACTAATATCTTCAACTTTTAACTAATAGAGGCTTGATCTAAACAAATTAAACCTATCATTAGGAAAGGAATCTATATATAATTAGAAAAGAAACTAGAATATGCATAAAGTAGGAAACATAGTATTAGAATAATATTATACTTTCCTATGAAATTTCAAATTTCCCATCCTAAGTAATGTGTAGTCTTATGTGGTTATGATGCATAAATAAAAAGTTGAGGTATAGTGATAGGATAGTGTTTCTGCTTTATATGAGGAAACAGAACTTCCAAGAAGAATGAGAATTAAGAGTTTAAGGGAAAATAACTTTATTGATTATTGCTTGTCAGACCTTAATTGTTTTAGGCTTTATATAGCCTTACACATTATTCTAATCCTATATATAAAGACTCTAATTGCCTAATTCAAATCTAATAAGATATTTTATCCTAATTATAAAAGGATAATAAGATAATCATAATTCTATCCTAATAAGGGGGTGTTTGTTTGAGGTTATAAGCTGGTTAAACTAGTTTATAAGCTGGTCAAACTAGTTTATAAGCTCTAAAATTAAGTTGACATGTTTGTTTATAATTTTTTTAGGCTTATAAGCTGAACTTATAAGCCAAAAAAAAAAAATATATATATATATATATAAGTTAGTTTGACCAAATATATTACCACATTATCCTTATTTAATTTTAAAATTTCATAGTATACCCTTATTTTTATATTTGAACTAGGTCATATTACTATATGTTTATATTCGATCTGTGAAGGAAAAAGACGACCTCTTCACTGGAAAAAGCAAAAATCTTTTTCCCTATTCATACGAATGGTTTAGAATTCACTGCTCTCTCTTCATTAAGGTACATACCTTAGGGAGTATTTGTCTAAGCTTATAAGTTGGTCAAACTAGCTTATACCATTGTTTAATGTAGTACCATTTTTAGTCATTTTATAATAAAATGTACTTATAAGCCACATTTTACTAAACACGTCAACTACTTATCAGTCACTTATAAGTACTTTAACCAAACACGTTATTGCTTAAAATTTCAAATGCTTATAAGCTAAAATTAGCTTATAAGCACTTGTTGCTTATAAGTTAATTTTCATAAGCTTAGACAAACACCTCCTTAATTGAGCTAGTTAATGGTTTTTTTTTTTTTTTTTAATTTGAGATTTTGTTCTTGTAATTTTGTAGTTTAATGGTGGAATTTAGGGTTTAAGGCTTTTTGTTTAATTTAATATATTAGTATCTATGAGTTCCATTGTGTATTTTTTTAGTGAATTTGATATGACCCATTTGCTTGATTTTGATTTGCACGTTGAACTCTCTGGGCTTCATTAGCTTTAAGCCTTTAACAATATTCTCAATCAGCTTAGATGTTTTGTCAATAGGAGGCCGTCAAAGAAATTCTATAGGGAATACATAAAATAAGAAGAAAAAGAGTATCAATGCATAATTAAAGGACGCACCAAGTCCTTGCTGATGCCCACTAAGTAATTTGCTTCCTGAAGCATCCAATTCCTCAAGCTTTACGAGCTATAATAGTCCAGTCAATGAATCATGTGATTGAAACCGCAATAATCGACAAAAAAGACCATAATGAGTGCTTGGAAGTGCACTTATGCTTAGTAATTTTAAGGGTATTTTATGAGGGAATTATATTTAACTGGTAAATTTTACTTTATTTTGTTGAGATTGTGGAGTCAAATTCAATCTAAATTAGAGTTGGATTAGGACATAGGTTTTTCTAATTTGTATTTAAGTAGAACTTAATACAATTCGGAATATGATTATAATTGAATTAGGAATTAAAATAAAATTCCCATTAGAATATGCGATTTGAATCCTATTAGGAATAGTATCACATGTATTACCTATAAAAATGGGTTAAGTCCTAGAGTTAGATATATAAAAAAAATTGAATAGAAGGCAAAGCCACAATTAGATAGAGTATCACTTTGTGCATATTACCATGGACCATTTTTCTTGAAATATCACTTGGATGAAGATAGAGTAGATTGTGAAAATCAATTTAACTCGGTGACATCATAGTTTGCCCTTGTTGCTCCATTTATTAGGGGTGTTTAAAAGAATCGGTTGGAACCGGAACTGGCAGGTACCCTGGGTTTGGTTCCGGTTCCTACCCAGAACCAATCNGCGTACTCATACCTAGTGATTTTAAGGGTATTTTGTGAGGGAATTATATTTAACTGGTTAATTTTACTTAATTTTGTTGAGATTGTAGAGTCAAATTCAATCTAAATTAGAGTTGGATTAGGACATGGGTTTTCCTAATTTGTGTTTAAGTAGAACTGTTTTCTTTTATTAATACAATTTGGAATGTGATTATAATTGAATTAAGAATTAAAATAAAATTCCCATTAGAATATGAGATTTGAGTATCTCATGTATTACCTATAAAAAGGGGTTAAGTTCTAGAGTTAGATATATAAAAAAAATTGAATAGAAGCCACAATTAGATAGAGTATCATTTTGTGCATGTTACCGAGGGCAATTTTTCTTGAAAGTATCACTTGGATGAAGATAGAATAGGTTGTGAAAATCAATTTGACTCGGTGACATCATAGTTTGCCCTTGTTGCTCCATTTATGCAAATAAGATGAACGGAAGAATTAGGGTTAAGATGTGATTTAGGGCTATGAAATGGAAGGGAGATTAGGATCGATTAATTGCAATTATTGAAGAATCGCAAAACTGCTCTGATACCAAATTAGAAACGTGTTTGGAGAGAAGACGAAATTGATTTTTGTTGTTCTGTATATTTCTCAATCAAAGATGCAGCTATAAATGTAGATAAAGACAAATGCCCTTAAGCCAAAATACACAAATGCCCTTAAGCTTACACCGACACAGATTACTTAATATGACTTTGGCCCCAGTAAGCTGTGAACAATCTGTAAAGAGAGCTACATTTCTATCACTGTAAATGGGAACGAACCACAATCTCTATCTCTATGTGCAGTAAACAAAACAACTCGTAATTCATTCGGTGAATGTGACCTTAAGCCAAAATACACAAATGCCCTTAAGCTTACACCGACACAGATTACTTAATGAGGCGGCTCGCTCCTCCTTTCATTTCATTTGGTTAATATACTTACGTGTTTGGTGAACTAAGACCATCATTATATGGTCCATTTTATTTATCTGTTAATCAATTGTTTTTTGTAGTTTATGATGATCTCATCTCATACCGCGAGCCAGCTATCCACAGCTCATAATTTCCTCTCCATCAACTTCAAGACCCGCCAGGATCCTTCAATACACGCACTTAAGTTTCCCTTCTTTGGTCAATCGTTTAATTAATTTAACCACTTTTCCTGCTATATAAACCCTTTGCATTATTCATCAGTTCCAACAAAATATCAAGGCTTTAGCTCAATCCATGGCTTCTTATTCTAGCAAAATGCTAATGATTTTTATGGTTTTTAGCTATTTCATGCTTGCTTCTGCTAATTTCTACCAGAATTTTGATATAACTTGGGGGGATGGTCGTGGGCAAATTCTCAACAGCGGTGAACTTCTCACTCTCTCCCTGGACAAAGCTTCGGGCTCAGGTTTGCAATCCAAGAATGAGTATCTATTCGGAAAAATCGATATGCAACTCAAGCTTGTCCCTGGAAATTCTGCAGGCACTGTTACTGCCTACTACGTAAGTTGCTTTTATAATAATACAGTAATTGTTTCAGTTGATTAAAGGGCTACTATCATCAAATCCTGACGCCCAGACTTTTTTGTGTTGCAGTTAAAATCAGAAGGCTCAGCTTGGGATGAAATAGACTTTGAATTCCTGGGAAATTTAAGCGGTGATCCTTATACTCTTCACACTAATGTATTTAGCCAAGGCAAAGGTGGCAGAGAGCAACAGTTCCATCTCTGGTTTGACCCGACCGCTGATTTTCACACCTATTCAATTCTCTGGAATCCTCAACGTATTATGTAAGTTTCCACTCATTCAATCTTGATCACGTTTCTTCTTTGACCAGGAACTTGTTCATTCTTAACTTGTTCATTCTCTTTTTCAGCTTCTATGTTGATGGCACGCCCATTAGAGAGTTCAAGAACTCTGAGTCAGTTGGTGTACCTTATCTCAAGAGCCAGCCGATGAGAATCTACTCAAGTCTCTGGAACGCCGATGACTGGGCGACGAGAGGCGGGCTCATCAAAACTGACTGGTCACAGGCTCCGTTCACAGCTTCTTACAGAAAATACAACGCCATTAATGCTTGCGTCTGGTCTTCAAGTTCTGGAACTTCTTCTTGCAACTCGAATTCGGATAACAGCAACTCTTGGCTTTCGGAGGAACTCGATAACACAAGCCAACAGAGACTCAACTGGGTGCAGAAGAATTACATGATTTATGATTATTGCAAGGACACAAAACGATTCCCCCAAGGCCTTCCTGCAGAATGTGCAGTCAAATAACTAATCCTAGAAATTTAGCTCATTATTAACTGTTTATATCTTGTTAATTAAGTTTTTTGATGTTGCAGTTTGTTCATTTTGTGTAATTTTGGCATTCTGTAGTGTAATGAATTAAATGCATGCTCTATGTAGCTCATAATTAATAAAAGGTTAGTTCTTTTCCTAATAAAAATAATTTGGTGTTTCATGCATATTATTCTAAATATGGAGAATCCTTGTGCAAATAATAGTTTTTCCAAACTTACTCCTACTATTCCAATGAAAAATCACCATTAACAAAACGATAGCTAAATTGGAAAATATAACAAAATTAATTTATATTAAATTAAAATAGAGATGAGTGAAAATAGAGATGAAGGAATTGATGTTGATTTTGAAAGAGATGATGACAATGATGTGGTAAGAAGAAGTATAGAAGAACTTGAACACGTCCCCATCAAATTCCCATCTTCATCTCTTAATAAAAGAAAAATTGGAGGAACCAATAACAATATGAAGAAAAGGAAAAGCTAGTTGCATCATCATTGAAAGAGAACATAGATTCTCTTATTGCTATGCTTAGTGATAAAAGCACTACCGAATCTTCTAGTTCATTGCAACATGAACCAACAATAACGTAATGTATGGATATACTAAAGAAGATGCCTGAAATTGAAATATCGAGTCCTCTTTATTTTTATGCCTCCAACCTCTTTATTAAGAAAGATATGAGAGGGTTATTTTTTTGTTATGATGATAAAAAAGTTCATTTGAATTGGCTAAAGTATAGCTACATGAAGTCAAAAGGAAAGAGTCCATAGTCATTTCTAGAGGTGGAAAAGTAATCCGTCCAGCCCGACCCGACTCATGGCAGGTTACGCATTTTGGCGGGTCGATCCTAACTCGCCCGCCAACAAAGGCAGGCCGGGTTAGTCCAGCCAATTTTGGGGGATTGGCTGGCCCAACCCGGCCCGCCAACCCTAACCCGCCGGGTTAGGCTACGGGTCGGGCCGGGTTATCCCCCTATTTGATTTTTTTTTTTGTTTGATTTTGTTTTGTTTAAGTTTAAATGTTTAATTACCTTTTCAAATGAATAATTAACAATTTATAAATGAATAAATGTAATTGTTTTTAGTTAACTTCTTTTCAAATATCAATAATTCAATTAAATTAATTTTTTTTTTGTTAACATTTCAAATATTATTTCAATTTTAATACATTAAATTTGTAATATAAGAAAAATTAAATTTATTCATTTATCAAAAAATAAAATAAGAAATTACAATAATTATTGTCTCGTTAAAAACCTCACTATGAAAAACCCAATGGGACAAAAATTTGGTAAGGAAAAAAGAGTGCAATAATTGACAATTAATTTACAAGTTACAATTACAAAACAACTAATTTTGGGGTTGACTAGGACCTCCTTCATCCGTATCATCTATATTACAAAATTGAAATGATTCTATTAAAGTATCATCGAGAACCTCGTATTGATCTTGATGGTGCGACCATTCCCAATCTCGAAGACATGTGAGGATTTCAATCATTTTTTGTGAAAGTTTAGTCCTCCTTTCATTTAAAATTCTTCCACTTGCACTAAACGTTTGTTCGGATGAGACGGTTGAGACTGGAACAGCAAAAACATCCAAGGCAAGTCTTGATAATACCGAAAAAATACATTTTCTAGTTTTCCAATATTCCAAGACATCAAAGTTGGCTCTTTGTTGTGGATCTGTTGGTAACATTTTAAGAGTTCCCAAATATTGTTGAAGCTCATTACTCTGTGACTGCGTGGCGGACAGTAGATTCGTTATTGCCGTTGGTCTTCTGAAGAGGAGGCTGGGCTTGTGCTTCAGGTTCGGTTCCTCTTCAGCCTAGTAAATGTACTCCAGGTGTAGAAGTCTTCATTAATTTCTTCTGATGCAACTTCCCTGTGTATTTCGTGTCTTTGAGGGTTCCCATACCTGTTTTTATATTGGAAATATACCTCTGCAAGACAATTTTTTACCTCTCCTATTTGATTGACAAATGCTAAGTTTTGTAAATTTTTAGTTAATATCTCTAAACCATTTTCTAAACCTTCTTGTTTAATTCTAGGATAAAAAATGGCACCTAAACAATAAAGAAAAGGAATGGGTTTAAAATATTTTTTTAAAAAAATGTCCATTGCCTTTATTGGTTCTTTTAAAATTTCATTGTTTTTGTTTTTTGTAAATAACTCTGAAATTTTTATAATTGTATGTATTACCAATGGACTAGTAGGATAATACACACCAGAAAGTTGTAAAGTGGATTGGTAAAAAATTTTAAGAAAAGAATGAAATATTTTAGTTATTTGCCAATCATTTTCTACCAAATAATGAGGACCTCTATTATTTGCTACAAAATAACTAATTAAATTAGCATAAGGTAAACATGAATCAAGCATTAAATAAGTACTATTCCATCTAACAGGCATGTCTAATGCAGAAGTTCTAGGAGACATATTTGATTTTATACAAGCATCTTGAAATTCAACATTTCTTTTATTACTACCAGTAATCCAAGCTAAACAATCTCTAATTCTATCAATATTTTCTTTAATTGTTTTCATACCACTTTTCACAATTAAATTAATAACATGACATGCACAACGTTGGTGAAAAAACTTCAAATTGTTATATAAAGGATAATTACTTTGAAAATAATCTATAGCTTTACTATTAGAACTTGCATTATCTAAAGTTAAACTTATCACTTTACTAACAATATCATAATCTTCTAAAACTTCAACAATTTTATTATAAATTTGTTGACCACTATGATCAACATCCATTAATCTAAATCCTAATAAAGATTTATTTAATTTACATTCATTATCAAAATAATGACTAGTCACACAAATATAATCTTGTTTAGCTCTACCACTCCAAATATCGGCAGTTAGAGCCACACTAACATGACAAGTATGTATTTTATTTTTTAATTCTAATTTCATTTTTTTAAACAATTTTATTAAATCATTTCTAGTTGCAGTTTTAGAATAACTTTTAAATCCTGGAAAAAATGAATTTTGAATAAATCTTTCAAAATATTTATCTTCAGCCATATTAATAGGTTGATCAGTTGCAGCAATTTATAAAGCTAATTGTTCCCTATATACATCAGAATTATAACGCCAAGTAGTACTCATATTAGTTATTTGAGTTTGATTGGTTTCTCTATTTCCATGTTGAGCAATATGTTTATTAGCATGCCTTTTTAAAGTACTAGTACCATTACCTGAATCAGCTTTATAAACATTTCCACAATACTTGCATCTTGCTTTCTTCACTTGAACTCCATTTTCTACCTCGTAAAACTTATCGAAATGCGTTCAGACATCTGATGTGTGTCTATCGTCGCTTTCGACAATAGTTGATGAACCCGCTTCAGCTTGAGATGAAGTTGGACGAGAACGACAATTACAAGGAAAACTTCTAGAACCATCGAGAGCTGTAGGTGTAGCAGCATGGGGAGGAATTGGGGGCATATTTTAAGGTGTATCGGATTTTGAGACCGGGAAGCGGGACTATTTGAATCTCCTCCTACATTCATGTTAGTAAATTCAGTGGGACTAGGACTAGGATAGTAGTTTCCTTCCGCATTGAAATTGATAGAAGAGAAATATATATCCATTGTAGTTGAAAAAAAATTGATGTAGAAGAAATAAAAAATTAAAGAAAGAGAATTGGATATTGGAATATGGAAAATTGAAAATATGAATTGAAAATTGCAAAAACTAATAAAAATTAAAATAAGAGCAAATTGATAAATGATAACAAAGAGATTAAGAGAATAATTGAGAGATTTCAATAAAGATTAGAGATTAGAGAGAATGAGAGAATTTGAGTTGTGAGAAAATATGAGAGTTTAGGGCCAATTTATAGAAAAAATTGGGGAAATAAAATGACGAAAAAGACACTTTTAACTGCTATAAAATGGCTATATTTCAAGAATAAAAGAGGAATTCCAAAAAAAAAAAAATTAGCTTTTTTTTTTAATTTTTTTGGGTCAACTCGGCGGGTTGGCTGTTGCAACTCACGAGTCAACCCGGCGGGTTGGTGGTCCTTTCTTAGAAAGGACAAAAGTGCTACCCGCGGGTCGTCGGGTTGCCATATAGCAACCCGACCCGCCCAGAGGTTGCACGTGGGTCGGGTTCAATGGCGGTCCAGGTTGAACCCTCTTTAATGCAGGCCGGGTTAGGGTTGACCTACCTAACTCAGCCCATTTGTTCCACCTCTAGTCATTTCTTTTATTTCTTTTATGTCTTATCCTTAGGATTCTTTGGTCATTTCATTTTATTTCTATTAATGTCATTGAATTTCAAACAAAGTAACTTATTTGTTGAATGATAAATTTGTTTGGATAATTGTGATGAGTGACCATTGAGATCAAGATATTTGTTATTTATTTATTTATTGAAGACATATATTTTACTACTATTTTTTTATTTTTTAGTTTAATGGAGCCGTGGGATATTTCAAATTTGGTTTCTACTGATTACAATTTTGTGGTTGATGGCCATGGTGATAAAAAGGATGAATTACAAGCTTTAGTGAGTCAATGGGAAGAAAAAAATCATAGTTGGATGACTATTTGTGAGATAACAGTTAAGTGAATTATTTTATATTATATAAATTACATTGATAAAATCCCATGCCGTACTTCTATAAGATCTGGTCACATGTTGATTCAAGAAATATTGGAAGGGAATGAAAATCGTTGTTATCAAGATTTTTACTTGACAAAATCTGTCTTCCCTGATTTATGTCATGATTTAACCAATAAATATGGTCTGAGGCCTACATAAGGGATGTTGGTATATGAGGAAGTAGGCATATTCTTGATGATTTGTGCTCACAATTGCGGGAATAGATTGATTCAAGAAATATTTAATCATTCTGGTCAAACCATTCATAACCATTTCCATAGGGTATTGATTACTTTACTTCTTTTAGCTAAAGATATTATTAGACCACATCCACAATACAATGGAGGAAAGGGATTTCACAAACCACAAAATCTAAAATACAAACCTTTCGATGTAAGTAACGATTATTATGCAATATTTTTTTTTCAAACTATTATTATTAATTTGATTCATGATTATAATTGTATGAAGCAATAATTTTTATTTTTTGTCATGTTAATAG